TGCCACAGTGAAAATCACCAGGAAGGATCACACGGGTAAGATCAAGTGCCAAGGAAAAACATTGTGGCTTTTCTACAGCAAAACAGTCGCGTCCTTTGAGCATCCGGGTCCAGAAGTCAAGAGCAAGTGAATCAAGACCAATTCCACGTGGCTCAGGGTCATCTGGGGCTTCCTTCTCTTTGGTTTTCTCATTTAAAAGTGAATTCTTTTCTAATTCTGGACTGTGAGGGGAATATGTGTAAATATAGAAGAAATAATAAAATAATAACAAGATGTAAATACAAATAATATGTAAAAATACACTCATGAAATGACAATCTGGAAACTGTAGATTACCCACTGAAGACACACTCAAGTTTTGATGTGAAATCATGAGGAAACAGGTCTGGGACACTGAATAAGTTACTGGAGGCACTGGTCTCTTGGTGTAGGTCTGCCACTGCTGAAGGCCATGGACATGTTATGGACTCAATCCTAAATTCAGCAGTTAATTTGTGTGTTCTGGTGTTGGGTACTGGGAATTATCACCCTGCTGTGGTGTGTTTTAGAGTAGTGTTTTCCCTCTAAAGCCAAAAAAGCTCAATTTACTAATTTTTTTATCACCTGTTTGAATGCTTTGCACTATTCACATATATTTAAAGTTAAGAAATCCAAAACCCCACAGCAAACGTGTCCTTGTAGCAGAGGACCTCTCCTTTCTGCCAAGAAGTGAAAGGATGTTCTAGCTGGAATTTCCTCCCAGTGGAGAGGATTATTCTGTAAAAATCAGTTTGCAGAGATATTTTTTAAGTCACCTCCAATCCTCTGCTTTCCCTTGGCCTGGGGATTCATTAACACACCTCAGTGTGACCAGCATTTCCAAAGAGATGCTTTAATGTGTCAAGAATTGCATTATTATTATTTCAGGGAGCACTCGGACACAACCACATAACAGAACGAGAGCAGCAAGTTTCTGTTGCTGCCCTGAAACATCCAAACAAAAGGTTTTAATTCTTTGCCAAGGTCTTACCATGCCCTGATGACTTGTTACGTGACAAGATGAGAATCAGTGGCTGAGATATTTGGTATCATGGAATCATAGAATCATTCAGGTTGGAAAAGACCTTTAGGATGGAGTCCAACCATTAACCCACCACTGCCAAGATGGAAAGTTTCCCAACACAGTTAAATTTGCTACCAGTTTGGGCTATTCTTTTCTTTTAATGTTTGCTAAGATACTACAGTAGTCCTGGAAAGAGTTGTTTGTTTGTTTTAAGATTAGGATTCTAAAATATTTATGGAAAGAAACCATTAAAAATTCTTCTTTGAAAACGTGGTTGGCTCTAAAACGTGTGAACTAAATCTCATTGAACTAAACATCAGAGCACACAATCTACAGTCCATCTGACATAGTCCAGAGTGGAGACACCAGGGAATTACTGGGTGAAGAGTCCAGAATCTGCTGCATTCCAACAGCACTGGGTGCCAGAGCAGATTCTCCTGGAGAAAGCTCTGCCCTCACCTTTCTCCTTGTTCATAGATAGTGGAGAGTGGCTCAGAGAGGTGCCAGCTTCCAGCCAGAGGTGTTTTCCCAAGTAACCCCTGTTGCTTTTCCTCTGCAGAGCTTCATGCTGGGATGCAGAACTTCCCATCAGCTCCTGCTGACGAGGAGCG